ATTATCACATTTGACCATAGCTCCACCATTCTTGAGATTTTTTACTTTTTTATTTTTAAGTAGGCCTCACACCCAGCGTGGAGCACTGGGGCCAGACCCTGAGATCAAGACCTGAGCTGAGAGCAAGAGTGAGGTAGGTGCTTCACCGACTGAGTCACTCAGGCATCCCTTTAGATTTAGATCTGTTTTTTTTTAATTTATCTCTTGGGTGAATTTCATGATCAAAAAGAATTTTGTTTAAAGGTTTACATACATGCACTATATATCTTGATCCATTGTTTGACAACAATTAACTACTGACTTGAAAAGCTGAAGAACAGGGGCGCCTGGGTGGCGCAGTCGGTTAAGCGTCCGACTTCAGCCAGGTCATGATCTCCCGGTCCGTGAGTTCGAGCCCCGCGTCAGGCTCTGGGCTGATGGCTTGGAGCCTGGAGCCTGTTTCCGATTCTGTGTCTCCCTCTCTCTCTGCCCCTCCCCCGTCCATGCTCTGTCTCTGTCTGTCCCATAAATAAATAAAAACGTTGAAAAAAAAAAAAGCTGAAGAATAGCCTGGCTAGGCAAAATAGACACCCTTGGGTCACTGTTTCTTTTTCTCAGAACATTCCCCCAGGCACTGTATGATGCTGTGAAGCAATCTAAAGACAGCTTTTCTCTTCCTTGTATGTAAATTGCCTTTTATGCCTGGAAGCACCACGGATTACTTGTCTTTGAAATTCTATAACTTCATCAGAGTACATTTCAAATGTATCCTTTTGTTCAGAAGACTTAAGACTCCTTATTTCAGGAAATTAGCTTCTATTATATCTTTGATTAATTTTTCTATTTCATTTTATTCTGCTTTTCGTTTTCTGGTTTTTCATAGCATAGGTTGTAAAAAGTGGTTTATATGCTAGTAAATGAAAACAAGTAAACAAAAACCTTTGATTTGTACTGTTTATCAATTTATGTGCAGTAAAAACTCCTACAATGGTGGATTTCAAGCTATCAGTGTTGTTACTATAAATGAAATTAGGAGCTCTTGCAAGCTGGTGCAAGCCTGTATGTGTACATGTGTTGGATCTCCTTTGTTTGACTTCCATATAATTTTCCTATGATTGGTTTTATACTTTTTTTTTTTTTTTAGTAGCTAAGTTCTGTCTGTCACAGGGTTTCAGTTGTGTTTAGTCTCATTTCCTATTCTTTTACCTCTTGAATGCCTTAATGACTTCCTTCCCCAAGCCCTGAAACTCTGCCAGGGTCCCTTTCATTTCTGGTCATGTTGTTTCTTCTTTAAATCCTTGTATTGCTTCAAAAAATTTTTTTTGTTAGATCATATAATCTTTAATTTTTTAGAATGTTGGAGAATTTTTTTTAATGTTTATTTATTTATTTTGAGAGAGAGAGAGAGAGAGAGAGAGAGCATATGAGCAGGGGAGGGGCAGAGAGAGAGAGAATCTTAAGCAGGCTCCATGCCTTGTGGAGCTCAATCCCAAGATGGTGAGATCATGACCTGAGCTGAAATCAGGAGTCAGACGCTTAACTGACTGAACCACCCAGGTGCCTCTGGAGAAATTTTTATCTGATCTTTTGCTGTTTCCTGAGGGTTAATCTCCTTCAGGTGAACATTTCTCTTACGCTTTTTGTTTATATTCCTTGAAACATTCATTTCTACCCCCTGTTCTCCCTCCGCTGTTATCTAAGCATGTGTCCTCTTTCTGGAGTCTATGCTGGTTCCATTATAACTGTGATTCCTCTTTGAGGGATTCCAGCTATTTACTGATGAATGGCATAGATGACAATGGAGAGTAAGCTGGGGTAGTCTGAACCTAGATTCCAGGGTGTGGTCTCAAACATCCCTCTCAACCAATCTACCAAGTTCTCTAACCCTCAGGCACATCTTCTCACAGTTTTTTTGTATTAACAAGGTTGGTTGAGATTAGTTTCTCATGAAATAGTCACTAGTAGGTAGCTTTGTTATAGAAAAATAACATTTTTAGTGAATATTTAATACAGACTCTGACAGTGGATAAAATCATGTCTTAAATGTTAGAGAATGAATACATGTCAGCACAAGAGATCATAGTTAATAATTTCATATACAAAAAAAATGTGTGGAGCCAGATACCTAAATAGAAAGTGTACTGTTGGTTTGTAAACTCAGGAGCTTCCCGGATGAAATCTGAAACTGGCCCCCATACACAGAGGGCAAGGAGAGAATGAAGAAGGAGGCCATCCCAGAACAGCAGGTGGCAATCTTTTTTTTTAATTTTAATTTTTTGTTAAATTTTAATGTTTATTTTTGAGAGAGAGAGAGAGGGAGGGAGAGATGAGTGGGGGAGGGGCAGAGAGACACAGAATCTGAAGCAGGCTCCAGGCTCTGAGCTGTCAGCAGAGTCCCATGTGGGGCTCCAACTCGCCAACCATGAGACCATGAGCTGAGCTGAAATCGGACGTTTAACCAACTGAGCCACACAGGTGCCCTGTCATGTGGCAATCTTAATAAGCAAGGGGATTTACAGGTATGGCTTATCTTAGCCCAAGATGAGCAGATCTCCACTCCTACCCATCAGAATCTTAGAAGTTTACAGAGGTATTACCTAGGTTAAATCACATATTCAGCAGATGGATTACCAACAGTGTGTTACCCTCTAAGGTTGTGTCGTTGAAACTGGCTCTTACTGTGGGAATCGTGGGCTGAATGTGCCTTCCAAGGACAGGGGAGGGGGTGAGGAGTCTCTGCCCAGGTCCAGATTGTGGGTCAGTCAGAAGTCAAATCCTCTTGATGACCTCCTCCAACAATTCCCAATTACTAATTATATGTTATTTTCCAAATTTTAAATATCTGAGCCATGGGGAAAGTCTATTATTTGTTTAAAAATAAAGGTTTTGAATCCCTCTGACAAATTGGTACAGTCCTACCTTGTATATTCAAAAGTGATGTCTTTGATAAATGTATTAGTGTGGTGGACAAAGTAATGTTTTGCTCAGATCCCCCTTAAGTGAGGGACCTGTTACCCCAGCTGCAGGAACTACTGCTGGCAGATGGCCTTCAGTGGTTTTCTCCTTTAGGGACAGCCTCAGCTTCAGAGGGCTGCCTTCTTTCAAGTTCATGCCCCTTCCAATGCAGCCAAATGATTAATATTAGTATATAAAGGACTGGACAACTCATACCAACTCGAGACAACTCTGAAGGGTCATCCTAGCTCCAGAGATCCCTGGAGGGCTGGCCAAGACTGTCACCAGCCTACAGCCTAACTTGACTTCTACCTCTGTCTACTCCTACTTCCTGTATCTCCCAGTCACATGTGTTGGTCCTTAATGAACACCCAGCCTGCTAAACTCTCAATAAATGACATTATATAAAAAGAAACTCTCTAGGTCTTGATGCACTGCAGTATGTACAGAAATAGTATTATTATTCACTTATAAAGTTTAGCTTGCATAACTCCTAAATGAATTTGAGGCAACTAACAATAATCATAGTATTCAACCAATTGAAACAACTATGCAAATGCAAGCTTTGTGTTTAACAGGTGAGACTTTTTTCCTGTGATTGAAGTGCAGTATTTCCAAGCAAAATTCTAATGGCTACCAATCACAAATAAACTACACCTCTATAAAATTATTTTCTAGCTTTTGCTTCTGTGCAAGCACACATACAAGAAGGTCAAAAATCGAAACTTTATGCAAATAATCGAGTGGTAGGTGGCTAGTTATGGCTACGTGTGTGGCTTAGACAATAAAGAGGTAGACTTAGAGACTACTACTCCTTTAAACAGAAAAACAAAGCATGATATACCAGGACATATTTCTCCTTTACACATGGGAGTACTGAGAGAGAAAAGTAACTATCCGTCTATCCTATGGTTCCTGTTTTGATACAGCAGCTAATACATTGAGGGTCCTGAATGAATGGAAAACAAGCAAGAGAGAAATGATATTTTACTATTAACTATAAAACTGTTTAAGAGTTACTGAGTATAATAGAATACTGATAGATATAAATCCTTATTTTGAATCTGCTATGCAGTTATGGAATCAGATACCCTATCACCAGCTCATGAAAATATTTTTGAGGCAGCTAAAAACAGACAAGGGTAGAACTTCTTCATTTCCAAGGTTGAAAACTCATAACTGGTTTTTGTTAATGTCTCTCTCTCTCTCACTACAGCATGAGCAGTGAATATTATTGACAGTGCTGGAGACTCCGGAGGTTGGGAAGAGAGTGGACAACTAGGGGATTTAATATGAACCACGGGATATCATCGCAAGCTTCAGCCCAAACATCACTCATCAGAAAGCCCTGTGTCATCCCTTGGTATATAAACATACTACTGTTATTATAATCTGTCAGTCTTCTTAATTGGGCAAGCCCGGCCTTACCATCGCATGTATAATACATTGGACACTTGGTTGTCCAGTCTGAGTTTTTAGCCCAGCTCAGGAGAGGCAGGGGACAGCCAAGGGAGGCTGGTTCAGACTTGAGTAGAGCAGCTCAAGTAGCAACTAGTTTGCTAGCCAACCAGCAAAACGAGCACGGAGAGGTCCAGGAACCCATGCTCCCCTAAGCCAGTTTCGGATGGGTGTTCAGAGCCCAGCCCTAGCGTGATGTCTTCCAGGGCAGCACAGCAACCCGGGGGGTGGGGAGTTGGGGAATCTTCCCTTACTAGCCGCCACATAATCTGTAGGCAGGAGGGACGTCTGTGGATGATACAGACCGTTTCTGGGCTGCCTAATTGAAGGATGGCCACACAGAGGTCACAGACCGGGGCTCCTCTAGATCCTTGCTACTCCGTGTGGTCAGAGGACCAGTGGCAACATCACTTGGGACCTTGTTTAGCCTGCAGAATCTCAGGCACCTGTCTGTACCAACTGAACCCATATTTGCATTTTAATCCTACCGCACATTTAAGTTTGAGAAACACAGGTCCAGGTGGTAGCAAGGAGGCTTGCGGAAGGATCTGCCTCTCAGCCCCGCCCCCTCCCCCGTCTTTGCTCTCCACCGGAGCAAAGCTCAGCCCCACATTGGTCTTGCACATTTCTGCGAACCCCGGGTGTGTGCGGAAGGGGCGTGCAGGAGGTACGCCGGCACGAGCAGAGGGCAACTGGGTGACTGGATTGGCGAAGGGCTGCTTTCTCTGGCTCGGGGCTCCTCAGCGTGTAGACACTCCCCCGACCCTTCCCCCCCCATCCGCCTCCAGCAGCTGCTACTGCCTGCCTCCCGCCGGCTGCCGCGAAAACCCGGAACAGCTGCGTGCGCTCGTGGAAAGTCCTCCTAGGGGCGAAGCAGGGCAGCTGGGCATGCTCAGTAGCTGGGGGAGGCTTGGGTGGAGAGTAGAAAGCCGCGGCTCTGCCTCCCACCCCCTCCCTCTGGCCCCCGCCCCCCTTGCCCCTACCCAGCCCGTAGTAGTTGCCCGGCGTGCGCCCGCGGAGACCGGGAACATGGCGCTCCGAGCGGTGTAGCAGCCGCGGAGGAGAAGCGGAGGAGGCGCCGCCGCTGCGCTGACAGCCAGCCACCAGGTAGGCAGGCGCGCCTGGCGGGGCTGCCTGGGTGGGTAGCGGCGCGGGGAGGGGCGCTAGCGTGGATGCGCACTGCTGGGACCCCGGGCATCTCGCTTCGCCGGCAGGATGCGAAGGGGATATCTGACAGCGCGCAATTGTGCATCGCCTAGGAGATGCCAGAGGCTGGGGACCGGCTGGCTGGAGGGCAGGGATTCGGGGACCGCCCCCACCCCCCATGCGCTGCCACCCAGCCTGGGCTCTCTACGGGTCAAATAAAGGATAGTTCCTTTCTGCTGGGCGAGAGGGCGCCGGGGGAGATCCGCGGATACCAGTTCTGGGAGTGCGCTGGTCCCCCGGACGGCTCGCAAGCCCAGCACCGGTTCTTTGTGTGTACAGCCACGCACGCCCAGGGGGGTGCCACGGTGCCTGCTTCTCCCTGGGAGTGTTGCACATATTGCCAGGGCAGGATTTCCGTATGGTTTTTGTCTCTTGGCAGGTGTGGACTGGAAGATGTAATAGCAGAGCCTTTATGGGGCTGTGTTTTCCTTTGTTACTTGCCTTGGTGTGCGTGTGCGTGTGTGTGCGCGCGTGGTGGGTTGTAATGGAGAGAGAGAGAGAGAACTTCTGCTCGTGGGCACGGGTGTGGGCAGAGCGTGGAAGAGGATCTCGGCTCCAAACTTGTAAAAATCGCGTGTGATGCCGGCCTCCTGGAGGGTTAACTTGAAAAGTCCAGACATCATCTGTGCCCGGTTTGGAGCAGAGGCGTGTTCGCCCCTCTTGAACCCATGTGTGTGTATTTGTAGCTTTAAACATGGGATGTGAGTCACTTCAACATTAGATAGCAGTTAAGGGAATGTGAAGCATTTGGGGCTATCTGTGGTGGTCTTTTTTTTTTTTTTTAAAGGTCAAATTAATAAATAGAGAAGTTGGCAGCAAGCCCAAGGAAAGTGTCATCGTTAATAGCTGATGACAGCTTCGAAGGCTAAATACACTTTTGGGGAAATCAGGAAACCTGGCATTCCACAGGGTTCCACCAAGAAATAGCCATAGGGTCTTAAGGAACTCCCAAAATCTCTTAGTGCAGCCGTTTTCTCTTCTGGGGTTTGGAGGTATGTAGACCCCCTCTCTCTTACCTGAGTCCAGATGGACACGACTCTTGAAAAGCCCCTCCCACACCAGAATTCCTATGAAACTGACACTCCAGAATAACAGCTGTGCCACCTTATACTTGCATATCTGTTATATTCAGCAGCACAACTCCCTGAGTTAGGGAGGGAAGGCAAATTTAGAATACGCTTTTATTTTTTACTCCAAGGATGGACATCTGTGACTATGAAGTTTAGAGACACTTTCTTCCGTACTTAGAGTATTTATTCTTATGGTCTCCTTAGGTGGCAAGAATGAGTCAGTAGCATCAAAACGAAATGGGGAGTGCTTGAGGAAAATGCATTTAAGTAAATTAAAGCTGTAAATGTCCAATCTGACAGTAATACCTTGACTTAGAATACATATGTGCAAAGCAGAAGCATTGCTAATGGAAGCAATATTGTTGATGGAAGTTTATTGATAGCATTGGTCTTAGAATACAATTTTTGTGTTCCTCTGGGACTAGGTACAGATTGATTATACTAGGTGTCTGCAAGTTGGTATTTTGTTAATAAATGTGAGTTTTAATTTCAGGCATTGAAAACCTAATTTGTCAGCTCCTCTCCTTCATCAGAGTTTGTTTCAGCACTGCAGGTGTGAGTGGCAGGTGTTCTGGGGTGTGGTATCATTTTGGTGATGAGACAGCTGAGTTTGAGCTCTGCCTCTGCCATTATTAGTTTTTTGATCTTGGGCAAGTTATTTAACTTTGTGGAGCCTCAGTTTCCTCCCCTGTAAAACAATCCTGGGAATAGAAAGACTTGTCTAAGTGGGAGAGTGTGTGGACTACTGGTAACATAAACCAACCAGGAAAATGGTGGGGACATTGGAAGAGGAAGGGAAATGGATATTTATTCAACCTATACTATGTGCTCTGTGTTACGCTAGTCAAGCCCAAATAAGTGATCTAACACTTCAACTATCAGTTTCTTAGGGCTGCCATAAAACAAATGTCCAAAAATGAGGTAGCTCAAAACAAAATTTATTCTCTCACAGTGCTGGAGGCTGAAAGTCCATAATCAAGGTGTAGACAGGTCTGTGCTCTGGCTGAAGCCTCTAGGGGAAGATCGTTTCTTGCCTTTTTTCTAGCTCTGGTGGCCCCAGGTGATCCTTGGCTTGTGACAACATAACTCCAATTTCCTGCCTCCATCCTCATGTGGCAAAGTTCCCCCTTCTTATAAGGACACCATTCATACTGAATTAAGGTCCACTGTAATTCAGTATGACCTCATCTCGATTATATCTGCAAAGACCCTATTTCCAAATAAGGTTCACATTTGTAGGTTCTGGTTAGGTGTGAATTTGGGGGAGACACTATTCAGCCCAGTATGCCAGCATCCCTATGATCTGTGTTTAATGACATGATTATTTCTGCATATGAGCAGAAGATAAAGATAGAGTATTGTGGGTTCAGAAAAGACTTTAAAAGTTATTTAATACAGCTGACATATTTGTGGCTTCCCAAACATGGTAGGGAAGAGCAGCATTTAGAGATACTAGACAAATGTCACTAATCTGGAAACCCAGATAATCTAGGATCTCAGTCTTCCACAGGTAATCTGCCTGACGTGCCCTGTCCCAAAAGGGTTTGTTAATGTCGCCTTCCTCTCTTTTGCTACCCGACCAACACAATGCAAACAAACAACAGAAAATCAAATTAAACAACCAAAATAACAAAAGCGACAGAAACACCCCAATATTAACACCTTTCTAATTTTTCTAATTTTTGTAGAAGACACTACTGTACATGGAATTGCTTTAGCCAGAAACTCAAGAATCATCTTTTGACACCTTAATTCCTTGTGCCCTCCATATCCAAAACCATCACAAAATTTTATAAATTTCTCCATGTATCTCTTGGTAGACTCTCCCTTCCATCTGTACCACACCACACTATGAATCCTCAAGTTGTCTTCCCGTACTGGATCACTGGCATAACTTTCTAGCAAGACCCGTGGCTCCTTGCTTGGCTCTTCCAGTCATTCTTCTAGAATAGATAGGATCATGTCAATTCCTTGCATATAATGCCTCTACATACCTGAGGTGGGTTCCAGAGACTGAGCCTTGGGCACTTGGCCAGCCTCATCTTGGGCATCTCCTTCTCTCGCTGCTGTTACACTGACCTCCTGTCTGTCGAATTTCCCAAGAACTTCCCCTACACCTTGCTGGTACAAACTGTACTTGTCCTTTGGGCCTCCTTGATCTCCCTTTCCCAGCAGCCCAATTCTCTTATCAGCCTTTTAATTTTCTTCCATAGCACTTACCTCAATTTACAGTTTCCTATTCATTTGTTTGACTATTGAATGTCTGTGAATTCCGTGATGGCCATTTGTTTTGTGTCTTGCATGTAGAAGATGATCAACAATGGCAAATGAGTGAAGAAATGAAAACTCTCATAGCATTTTTCTGTGCCAACTTAAAGATCTGATTTTTTAGAAACTTTTTTTTTCCCCACTAACTTGTATAAAAAGAGCAATTGAGAAACTCATTCTGACTGGAAAAGAGGAGTATTCTTGGCTTTAACAAATGCATCTTCTAAGAATTGGTTTTAAGCGAGCAGTTAAGAATTGAGTCAAAATATTTTCTGCCAACTGAGGTCTTTGTAAAAACCTATCAGTCAGCAAACATTTCACAAATATCTATTGGACATTTGTATTTGTCATGGTAGGCCCTAGAGGGTACAATGGAGAACTAGACTTTTAGCCTTCTAGAGATTAAAAATAAACAGTAAATAATAATTGCAGTAATATTTATTGGGCTTCTGTTCTATGCCAGGTTCTCCTCCGTCCCTGTCCCTACTGGTTACTATAGATAGCCCTCCAGTCTCTCCTAGTAACACAGAATCCAAATCAAATGCACAACAAATACTTCATGAGCTAATAATTAGTAGGTGCTTTTAGCCCGATCTTTTAAAATAGGAAACTTCTGCTTATGGGGGGTGGGGGGAAGGAATCTGCTCATATACAGAAGAGCTTGCAACTGCTTTGTGAATATAGCCAGGTGGGTCCTGTTCTACTTTGCAGAGCATCAGCCTATTGTCTCTGGGGTTAAAATAAGAGCCAAGTTACTCTTTTATACAGGAGCGAGTTCCTGGTGTGTTTGTCTTCCACAGTTGTCAAAATTCTTAACTGGCAGCTGAATTGTTTTATTCTGTTTAATCCAAGTGAGAAGTAATGTAATGTCTCATTCAGGGCACTTTTGGGTAGTCCTGAAAAGCAAGACTCAGTACCCCAGGAAAATGAATGTGGTGGAATGCAGGAATACAGGATTACATTTGGATTTCTTGGATGGCCTCGATTTCTTGTAATTTCATTTCATGAATGGTAATTTTTTTAAAAGCAAATAAAAACATTTAATGCACGTTTTTTTTTAAAAAAGTTTATTTTTGAAAAAGAGAGGGGGCGGGTGGGAGGGGCAGAGAGGAGAGAAAGAATCCCAAGCAGGCTTTGTGCTGTCAGTGCAGTGCCCCACATTGGCTGAACTCATGAAGCCTGAGTTCATGACATGAGCTGAAATCAAGAGGCAGATATTTCACAGACTGAGCCACCCAGGTGCCCCTTAATGCATATGTTTGAGTATAACTTTTCACCTAAGTAACAGAAATCAGACATTGTGTCTTGATTTCGTTTAAAAGTGATGGATACACAGGGGTGCCTGGGTGGCTGAGCCAACTTTGGCTCAGGTCATGATCTCGGTCAGTGGGTTCGAGTTTCTTGTCAGGCTCTGTAGAGCTTGGAGCCTAGAGCCTGCTTCAGATTTTGTCTCTCCCTCTCCCTCTCTCACACTCTGTCTCTCTTGCTCTCGAAAATAAATAAACATTAAAAATTTTGAAATAAAGTGATAGATACACAATTGAGTCTAAAGGAACTAATAAG